CTTCCCTCCCGTGCACTCCCGCCCCCCAAGCTGTCTCCCTGTGCATACACAGCCCTTCTATTCTCCCATGATTGATCACTCCAAGGAGTGTATTTACCTACTGTAAATGTTCAGCTCCTATGCTTGTCTTTTGTTTGTCTGGAAGCCACAGGAGTGGGTTCAATTCCATACCTGAAGGGGCCATAGTCTCAGGTTCTACCAGGCTCTATTAGACTAAGGACCCATGTGTTTTAAGTGAGAGAATACCTCCCCCCTGAACCCAAAGTCCTTGATCCCTCTCATCCCATCCCTCTGCCCAATCGTGGATGTTAATAAAGTTAAAAGAGGGGGCAGAAAGGCTGAATGCCAGAGCCTCAGGTCATTAACCTGCACAAGTGCTCTGCAGCCTTCCCCCATCTCAGCCAGGCCCTCAGGCTGGTGACTACCCTGCCACCTTGGAGCTGGGGCTTTGAGCAATGAGTCTGCAAGAAAGCAACAGAGGGGTACAGACAGCTCACACAGTGGTGACTTGACTGCCAACCCCAAGATCAGCCATTTGCACACTTAGGGGTGCTGGGGCCAGTGAGTAGTCATCCCATGGGTTTCTGTGGAGAGCAGGAAGTCTGAGTGGGTCAGTGTGCAGTGAGTGTGCAGTGAGTCCCTTCCTGGCTGCAAATCCTGATCCAGTCAGCTCTACCTGTGGTTTGAAATGACGCAAGCATACTGGACTGCCCGAAGTATGGGAGTCACTGCTCGAAGACAAGCAAGCTGAGCTTCAGACTGTGGCTGCCGAGGAGGGAGCAGCCCCATGTGGCCACCTCTGAAATGACTCCTGGTGCCTGAGAAGCATTTTATCACTGAATGTTCTGGTTCCCTAGTGCTGCTCTGACAGGAATATATACCACAAATGGGATGGCCTCAACAAACAGTTTATTCTCTTACAGTTTGGAGGCTTTAAGTCCAAGTTCTAAGTGCCAGGCTCTAGTGACTGGGTGAAAGCCCCTCAACCTTGGGGTCCAGTTCTGCCTCCTCCTGCCGGCCCACTGGAGCTAGAGGCATTTCTTCACTCAGACAGCTGCTGGCTGCTGAGGCTGAGAAGCCCAGGGTTGACAAGTAAAAAGGCACAATCCCAATGTTACCAAACCACACGGCAGGCCATTAACTTAAGTCCATTATAAGTCTCAGGGTTGGCAGAGCATAGCAGGCTGCTGAACAACGACATGGCTACGTGCAGGGTCCAAGCGTGCCACAGGCTAGAGACCATTCCCAAAGCTGCTGCTTATATATGGGAAGCAGACCACATACCCAAAGCAGCTACTCAGCTGCTTGTGGTAGATCCCACTATGGAGTTGATTGCCATTCTCATCATGGGGACTAACTACCACCAGCTGCCCAGCCACTCAACCAGGCCCAGCCAAGTTGACACACAAACATAACCACCACACTGAAGTTTGGCAAAACACTGATTTTCATATAACAACCTGGTCTTTTGAACGTAACCATGTCAATAAGTAAGGGGTGGATGTTTTGTGTGGACTCTTGACCTTGACTACCTGGGCATGAATTCTACTTAGGCTACTTCCTAACTCTGTGACCTCAGACAAGTCATGTAATTGCTTTGTGCTTAGGTTCTCTCATCTGTAAAATGAGAATAATAATAGGGCTTATACCTCATAGAAGGAGCTCTGGTGGCATAGTGGATCAGCGGTTCAAACCCACCAACCGCTCTATGGAAGACAAATGGGACAATCTACTTTTGTAAAGATTTACAGCTTCAAAAACCTAACGGGTCACTATGAGTCAGAATTGACTCAATGGCAGTGAGTTTGGTTTGGTTTGGTTTATACCTCATAGGGTTACTGTGAGAATTAAATGAATCAATAAAACCAAAAAACCAAAATCATTGCCATCGAGTCTATTCTGGCTCATAGCGAGCCCCTTTTGGGTTTCCGAGGTGGTAAATCTTTACAGAAGTAGATTGCCCAGTCTTCCTTCCACGGAGTGGCTGGTGGGTTTGAACCACCAACCTTCTGGTTAGCAGGCACATGCCTTAGGCACTACGCCACCAGAGCTCCTTAAATGAACCAATCCATGCACATTATAGAATAGCTTATGGCACACAGTAAAAGCCTTGTGAGTGGTTGCTGCTATTGTTACTACCACTAATACTATTATTACCATTACTGTTATAACCATTCTGATTACAACTTTGACTATTAGCCAAAAGGTTAGTGGTTTGAACCTACCCAGAGGCTCCTCAGAAGTCAGGCCTCACCATCTGTTTCTGAAAGATCACAGCCTTGAAAACCCCATGGAGCAGTTCTGCTCTGCACATGCAGGGTCACCATGAGTTGGAATCAACTCCATGACAACTACTGACAATAGCAGTGACTATTACTGCTCCTCCTCCTCTGTCAGGGAGACGCCTGGTCCATATAGTAAATGGAAGGAAGGGCGGACTGCTGAAACTTTAAAATTAAGAGATATTTAAGTAACCAGCTCTGGTGGTGCAGTGGTTAAGGCATTTGGCTGCTAACCAAAAAGTCGGCGGCTTGAACCCATCAGCTGCTCCAGGGGAGAAAGATGAGGCAGTCATATCTGTAAAGATTTACAGCCTTGGAGCCCCTACGGGACAGTTCTACTCTGTCTTACAGGGTTGCTATGAGTCGGAATTGACTTGATGGCAGTGGGTTTGGTGTTTGGTTTTAACTAACTAGCTTGCCACTCCTTGGAATGAAGATTGGGTGATCTACTTCCGTAGTGATACTGCTTCGGAAAGCCAAGGAGGGGTCACTGTGAGTCGGATGTGACTCGATGGCAGTGAGTTTTTTTTTTTCTGTTTGTTTTTGATTTATGAAAACTTTCAAAAGGCCTTGTTGGCATTTGAAGAAATGAGATGGTAAGGTTGGTAGGTTATGAGATTTGTTTATATTTTTTAAATAAAAATTTTCATTTTTTGTGCAGGCCTGAAGGCATTGAACGACAGTACAGGAAGAAGTGTGCAAAGTAAGTATTACCAGTGTGAGTTTCTCTAGCATAAGCAAGTAGAAGCATGCTGTGGAAGGAAATAATTATTTGCATACAATTCTCTATTATATCTTCATACTTATAATCTCAGCACTCTTTAGACTTCAGCTGTACAAATGCCAGTATGATCCTCCAAGAGACTAGTCAAAGTTTTTCCCTGACCAGCTGGCTACAATAATGGGTTTTTAACATTGTGTAATTTTAAAAAATGGACATGTAGTTTGCATATAATAAACTTTGCTAAATTTTAAGCATACAATTTGATAAGTTTTGTCAAAAGTATACAGCTATGTAACACCACCACTACCATTTCCAACATCCCATGTGCCCTTTGCAGGCAATCCCCTTCCTCCTTTCCTGTCCTCTGACAACCACTGTTCTGATTCCTATCTCTATAGTTTTGCCTTTCCTAAAATTTTATGTAAATTGTACAATATGTATTCGACTGTTCTGGTGGTACAGCAATTAAGCACGCAGCTGCTAACCAAAAGGTCAGCAGGTTAAACCCACCAGCTGCTCTGTGGGAGAAGCATGTGGCAATATGCTTCCATAAAGGTTACAGCCTATGGGGCAGTTCTACTCTGTTCTGTAGTCACCACAAATCACAATCGACTTGACGGCAGTGAGTTTTTTGATGTACAGTGTGTAGTGTTCTGTGTTCTTTTGTTTAGTATATTGCATTTGGGATTTATCCAGGTTTGCATGTGTCAATAGTTTGTTCTTCATTACTCAATAGTAGTCTATTGTATGG